TAGGTCAGATTAACTATCAAATGTCTAAATCAACGGTATTAGAATTTTAAAGAACTAAATCCTATCATTTATTATTTAAATCAAATTCAATTCCCTTTAAAGAAACGATATTCTATCTTTAAAGAGCTAACTTCTAATATTAATTAATTAAATCAAATTAAATCTTTATCACAACGATATTTTTTTTTTAAAAACGGTATTATATTTGCCAAGAAATAAATTCTAATATTTATTAATGAAATCAAATTATATCTTAACTCAACACTGAATTAAAATGTTTCTTTTTCTAAAAGATAATTCAGTTTTTAAATTAAATACGGTCTCAATATAAAACGTTTCTTCTATAAAAATAGGATAGTAAAAACGAAACAAGGTTTTTTACCTAACGGATTTATAAACACGATACGAAAAATTTATCGACGGCGGACCTAATTGAAAATGCGGCTTTAACTTTTAACTGGCTGAAATCAAGTGCATTAGGAACTGAAATTTTTAATTGACTCCTGGAGCTCGTTCAATCGTCGCTTGCCCTTTCCATAGCAGAAAACTCACCATTACAACTCGCGTACGCAGAGTATTTGGACGATATAGTTTGAATTGCGGCAATTTGATATACAGGGTATATCCATGAAGTTAAAATTAGGTAAAAATCGAAGTTCATTCCCGGAATCAGTTAAAAAAAATAATAATGAAAATTGACTTCATTACATCATATTTAGAAATCCAAAATAAAGAGTTAACATAAAAAATAACTCAACGGTAAAATTAAAATATAATAGACTAGTTTTAAACGCCAATTAAATATTTGCCGATTGGTATACCATTTATTTTTCTCCGTATAAAAATCTAATAAACATTAAAAGTAAACAGAAACTATCGACGAAAAAAAAAAGAGAAGACGTGCAAACATTTTTCCTTAAAATTATCTTGGTAAAAGGTAAAATAAATCTAACGGTCCCAAGTCTTGATGACATCTTTCTTACCTTAATTTTGCGTAGTGCAGAAGTACTTTTGATTACGATGTAGCTGGCGGACCAGCGCCGTCGGTGATTTAGAAACAAAAGAAAAAATTGGTATGTGCGCTATTTCTAATAAAAAAAACAATGCTTTTTTAAAAAAATGTTTATTGTTCTTTACAATATTTGTATGCTGATATTTTTATACGTAAGTATTTAAACCTAGGTTTTCAAAATAAGCGAATTTTTGGAGTTGACTACTCAAATAATTGAACTACTTATACAATAAATATTTTTACAAGGTACATATCAATTCTATAATAATTATCTTCTAAACTAAATTTATATAGGTACCTACATATTTACAAGATATAAAAATAGTATTTTCCTTAATAAGATTAATGTCTTCTAAACATTTAAATTGAGTTTCTTTGTATGAAAAATAAACTTTTTAATAATTATAGATTACCACAGCAATGCCCTTTTAACTAATGGAATAACATTATTTTAGAAAATAATTAAAAAATAATCTAAAACGTGTACGCCTTTTAAATGAAAATTTGAATATACCTGGTGATTAAGTTAAAGTAATAGTGCAGTATCTAATAGATAGGTGATTTTTGTTTAATGAAACACACTGTTTGTTTTAATATTATTGAATTATCCACACTCAAAAGTATTTAAAATTATTTTCCTATGTAACCAAAAAACTATGGAACAACAGGTTACATGGTATCCACACTAAAGTAGTAGAGTTTGCATTTTTGAGACACAAGGACGCACTTTCTATTAGGCACAAGTAGGGCGATTTAATCAAATAATCTCTTTGTTTTCTAGAATTCTACCAATTTACATAAAACATGAATTATAGGTAAAAACCCATTAATGAGGGAATGTATTTTATCTATTTTTATACAAATTGAGAAACTAAATATCGTCCATGTTGAGAGGGGGAAATATTTAAAAGATTGGCGATTGGCACAGAAGGTCGGGCCAAGCGGTTTATAATAAAATTAATTTCCAATCAAGAGACGTAGAAATTTAAAGATGGCCAACTAAAACTGGATAATATGTAGAAAGACTATCCCTGTTCAAAAACGAAAATTGTAATAGTATTTTTTTTATTACTAGAGACTCAATTCAAATGTAATCGTCATATTTTATATAAAATGATTATTAGTTTTCTTACAGAGTGAGTCTAAAAATTACGAAGCCATTGCTTTACTGTAAAATATACAGTGCGAACAGGTCGATTTTTATTTCTGATAAATTTCTACAATAAAAAATGTACCCTAATTTAATCGAAACAGGTGTCTGCTGATAGCTTATTTGAAAGGATTTTTATCTCTTTAACGGTTTAAATACTTTAAAATTTACTTCATGTGGTAGCATTATTCAATAGTATAACAAAAACTCCAAAATCAGTACCTACTACATGAAATTGATTATTAATAAAAATAAAGTAGTAACTAGTTCAAAGGCGGCTCCAGAGAGCGGGCCATGGGGACCGAGATTAAAATCCTTATAATCCATGAGCCTTTTATTAAAAAAATTTGCTAAAAAGGCTAATGGCAATGACCCCCTTCGAACTAGTTTCGTCTAACCAGCCATCATCAGACAATATTAGAAGTTACATCCCAAAAAATTTCAATTGATATAAAATGTTGTGCAACAGTTATCAGACAACCAGTTAATATAATGTAGTAAAAATGTGTAATAATGGTAAGTGAATTCATGTAATTATGTATTTTCACTTATCCAGCATTATTCGTTGCTATATTTTAATGTTATTAATTTTTAACACTTTATGTTCATTGGTTGTCTCGTGAATGTTGCACAACAATTTATGTAATTTTATATTTTTTGGGATTTAACTTCTATCATCGTTGGTTGATGGTGGCTGGTTTGTCGAAACTTGTTGATACTTCACTTTTCTTAATAAATAATTATATGTGTTATTGATCTGGAGCTTTCTTTATTCCGTTTAATTCAATTTTAAACCAAGGGAAGCAACTAAACATCTATTTTTTTCGGTCAAGAATAAATTAATGGAGAACATTTTGATTATTTGATAACTTTGGTATCAGTTTACATTAATGTAATCTTATTAATATACCAGTGAAAAATAAACTACCTTTAGCCATTACCTTTTTTCATCTCGGGAGGAAGGGGAGCATAGCCGCTCCTGGAGCCGCCCTTGCAACAATCGTCTATTTAATATTTATATAAAAAATAAATTATGAAAAGTTAATTTCAACTTCCAAAAGAACTGTTTATGAGGGATTTTAAGTAGGTATACTTTAATACGTTTAATGATTATCCTGAAAATTCCGGACAATTTATAATTTACGGCGCATTCCGGACTAAACGCCAAATTTCCGGACATGTCCGGACTTTTCCTGACGTCTGGTAACCCTAGTCGCGAGTGTGTCCTATATAGTCCGAGAACTTTTATTAAGAGCAAACCGAATAGCTTGAAACTTTCTAATTCCATCTGAGCCTTTATTTTTAGCCCTATTTGTTTGAAATTTTCAGGAAATTACCAATAATAACAAAACTTAGGGGTGAAGAAACCTTCGAAAAGTATTTATTTTTATAATTTTTAAAGGTAATTTCTTAAAGAAAAACATTTACGCGCCACTCTGTATTAAATCTATGAAAATTTTCCTCTTTTTGTTTTAATTAATATCAAGTAGTTTTTAAATGGGAGGGTTTTCCATCTTTTTTCTTCAATTTCTCTGTTGCATTTAAAGCTCTCAATATTATCGAGGAACATAACATCGCGAAGTTTTCCTAGTGGCGTGCTTATAAATAGGTACAATTTTATATTAGAAAATTCTCACATTTTTATACGGGACAATTAGCGGGAACATCGTGAAAGGCATGTAGGATTAGCCATACGAGAAGACATGAAGTGCTTTTATGTTGAAATGCATTTGTGTTGAAGTGAATGGACCGTATTGAGTACACTTTGCAATAAATAATTGTAAGTTCCGTATTTTTTTTTTTGAAAAAGTTATTTAAAAAAGTTGTTTATTTTAATAACTTCTATACACAGTTGAAAAAAGTATCAACTTTGGATTCAGCCTGTATAAATAGATATTATAACTGACATTTACTTTGTAATTTTAATTTTAAAATAATTGTTTAACGCTCGTTTTTGTTTATACCAATCGAGAATCAAGAATTTGAAACGAAATAAAAATAAAATAAAATAAAAACTTTCATCCGTTAAACAGATGGGCGAAGGTCGACCTTACTTCGGATCTTAGACTAATAGCTAAATAATAATTCTTCCTTATTTAATTTTTCAGTAGGAATTTTTTTTTAGGAAACCATTTTCTGTTTCTATTATTACTATAAATATCAAAATATATACAGGTTGTTTCATTAGGAAAGGAACCCAGAACATCTGAAGATTATTTAATTAAAAATAAGACGATTAAACAAAACATGCTTCAATAAAATATTATTCGTTTCCGAAATACGGGTGTTAAAAATTCAAAAATTAATAATGGCTATTTTATTTCTCAGTATAATCTTACTAAATTCGGCAAACATTTTTGGTGTCATAAAATACACCTATCAATAAAAAACAGATAAATAAACTTTACCAGTGGCGTACGGCATGGAAAAGTAACATCTACAATCCCTGTAAATTTTACGCCACTGTCCTAAAACTTATTTATATTATAGTTATAAATTTTGATATTTATTAAATAAATTATGTACCTACTCGTGTTGAGAACCCATAAAATGATTGGCTTTCGAGATATTCTTCATTTTAATTTATTTTGTAAGTTTGTAATTTTTTTTAAATTCCCAACAAGGGTACATGAATTATTTAAAAAAAATTAAAAAATAGTCCAAATAAGTTTTTGGAGACTGGAGTAAATTTAGAAGGGATTAAGGTGTTACTTACCAATGCCGTACACCACTGACAAAGTTTATTTAACTATTTTTTTTTTGCTGATAGGTATATATTAGTATCTTATGGCACCAAAAACGTTTGCTTAATATAAATTTATAAAAAAGTCCAAAATTAAAATAAATTAAAATGAAGAATATCCACCGTTAAGTGTGTATATCTCGAAAACCAATCAGTTTATGAGTTCCCAACAAGAGTACATGATTTATTTTAACACATCAAAAAATGTAAAAGTATAGTCTAAATAAGTTTTTGAACAGTAGGGTAAAATTTGGTGGGGACGAAGGTGTTACTTATTAAGCCGTACGCCACTGGCAAAATTTATTTGACTGATTTTTTGGTGTTAGGTATAAAAAATAAGAGCCAATAATAAATATTGAATTTTCAATTTTAACAACCTGTATTTTGGAAACCATTAATATTTTATCTAAACAAGTTTTTCGTTTGATCGTCGTATTTTGAATCAAAGAATCTTCAGTTGTTCTGTGTCCCATTCTTAATCAATTTGATTTTTTTGAGACTATCTGTATAGTTGAATATAATATACAAGTATTACCCTATATTTATAAAAAATTAAAAAGAAATACGTTAATGCACAGAAATATCTTTTTATTATAATGATTGTTTGATATATGTATTAAATTTTTTATTTTAATTACAATAATACAACATAATACGTAAAAATACATACCATAGAAATATTAAAACAGAAACATCATTATTAATTTTTATTAATATTCTTTTTTTGATGGAAGATTATTTGCTTTATTGAATCGTTTTTCAAATATCTAAAATATTCTAAAATTCAAAGCAGTTACATAGACAAGCGCCCGCAAGTAAAAAATGCGTAACAGGACAATTGCACCCCGGACAAAAACACCCTGTGTAAAAAAAGTCATGAGTCCATATCTGCATCTGTAGATCCGTCACAGCCATTTTTCTTATTCATACATAATTCAAATAATCGTAATTCCAGCAATTTTAGAAGTGTTTCTGTTGTTATTTAATCAGAAAAAGAATTAAAATTTAACAAGTTAATTATGTACGACTAAATTCACATTTTCATTTAGCCTTGTTCTACTGGGTGTCTTAAATTTCGATTATCCCTTCGCCAAAATCGAAAGCATCAGCGATTTCAGTTTACTGACAAATTTTAAGGCCCAGGAATCCCGAATAGAGACGATATCATTACGTCACACATCTCCCATCTACATCACATTTTTTAAATAGCTAGATTTCAAACCATTGGCAGGTACGATTAGTTTAACAGCGATGTTACCAAGGCGATTGATAAGAGCGGACAAGTGCGCATCGTGATGTAATGGTATTTTCTCTATTCGGGTTTCCTTCCTAACCTTTTACCCCTTTTTAAAAAATACCCCATCGCCCAACCTGCCTAAATAGCTGGGCCAGCTTTGTTTCTCTTTCGGCAGAAATTTGGCGCAACTCTCGTTCTGTTTTTTGTTCACGCAATCGCATTGTATCCTCAATCTGTAAAGAGTCATTTGACCAAGTCTGAGTCGGTTTAATTGATTAAAAAAACTGAACTCGTTTTTGAGATTGGCTTGCTCTTCCAGACATTCTCCTTCGAAGAGCTCGCGTTGTTCTTTATCCGTCGTTTTTTGGTCAACGTGAGCCGTTTTATCTGGAAAATAAAAATTGTTGCTAAATACGAGTAATTTGCAGAACTAGGTCAAATAACAAAAGTTCGAATTGGACAATTTCGAATGACAAAATTTCGAAAATAATAATTCAGACTATAAAAATTCGACTGAAAAATTACGAAAATACAATAGTTCGAATGACAAAACTTCGAAAATTCAAAAGTTCGATTGATAAAACTTCGAAACTAAAAAAGTTCGAAATTATAAAGTTCAAAAGTAAAAAAGTTTAAAACAACAAAAGTTCTAAATTAAATAGGGAAGGAAAAAGTACAAAATTTAGTAATTTCTTTAGATATAAACTGAGATGGTCAAGTACCTTTAGTATTATATCAGTGGGGGTGCTTTAACCTTACGCATGAACTCAGATGGTTAAATCTCAATGTAGAAATAGAAAGAAAACAGAAATATTTTTTTAGTATTCTGATTAAAATAAAAAAAAACCTAACTATTTTGCCTAACCTGGGCGGCCTAGAGTTATCGCGGGTTACTTCGTAAAAAATATACATGACATTTGAAAAAATAGAAGAACATCTGACCCATTATGTGGTGCTTTTATCGATATCATAAAGGCAGCGGGATATTTAAAAACCTGATAATAAAAGTTGTAAATACGCACTTTCATGTCCTGGTAAAAAAAATTTAAACAATATTAATTACGGTAAATTATTTATTGAAAAGAGTACTACCCTTACAGTCTATTGTCCATTAATTAATTAATTATTGTAAATCTATTCATGAAAAATATTTTTAAATTTTTGTTTATTTGTAAATTTAACATTTTCGTTCTCATTTATCAAACGAGTGGCTAATGATGCCTCATTTGACTGCAAACTCCATATTGGAAATTCAGATATTTTTCTTCCTATATTAAATCTTCTCTCCAACGTTTTGAAGCTATTTTCTTGCTCTAAAACAATAAAAAATAATAAATAAAAACTTTCTGACGAAAGTTGACTACTATTTGTGTTACTTACATGACTAGATCTTACTTTGGTAAATTAAAGAACGCCACATTGGGGTTGTTAAATTTATTCATATGGCAGGTGTTACGAATGTAATACGTGCTCCGCCTCATTATTGTAATATTATAAAATGTAGTTTATTTAAAATACATTTAAACATAACGAATAAATCTATATATATAAAGGAGTGGGCCTAGAATAGTACTATGGAGGACTCCATATCTTACCAGTAAGAAACTAATGTATGTGGTACTTTATTCTATTTGTGTTCTTCCATTTAAATAGGTTTTTGCGGCGAGGATATAATAATTTAATAATTCAATATACAGGGTGAACCATATTCTAGTTAACTACATACAATTTTTTTAAGAAAGTTGGTTGAAATGTATACCAAGTAAATTAATTTTTAGCTAAAATAAACAATGTTTTATCATTCTTTTTCTTACCTTGTTCTAGTTTATCTCGAATACATTCTTGAATGTCCAGTTTTAAAAATTCTTCTTTCTTTTTTATTGTCGGTTGCCAATAAGTGACGAAAATTATATCGAACGAATTTGTTGTATTTGTTGTGTTAAATGAGTCTAAAATTGCTCCTGAAAATAATAATAAAAATAAAAAACAAAGGAAAAAGACAAAAACTCTAATTCTCAGAATTGGAATTTATTTATTTTGATAGTGCCCAGGCTGGTTATTATTCTGCCTTGTTCTAAAGAACTAAGTAGCACAGCGAGCTTTGATTTTGCTTCCTAAGTGCAGATGGCGTTACCATTTTTACTCGTTGACTAACTATACTCTCTCAACCTCTATGAATGTAGGTGAGTGAATTTAACACATGTGGTTGACTCCATTAAAGACTGGAGTCTATTTTTCTTGCTGATGAGGCCTAATAAGGTCAAAACTGGTCCAATAGTGACTTTCTCATTAGGAAGCAAGATCAAAATTAGAATGTTAAAGCCGTTAAATGCATAGATAAATGTATCTATGGTTAAAGGTTATTTTCTAACTCTGTTATTTTCCTTTTGATATGATGGAATGCCTGTTGCGGTACTAGGTGTAGGTATTAGCAAAAAGAGTAGTTGTTTTAAGGAGGGAAATGGTCGCTCGACGTTTCTGTTATACGAACTTGAGTTTTTTCTTTTTAAATGGATCACATTTAATAAATGAAATTTAATTCCTTTAATGATGATAATAATAATAATAATAACTATTAATGTAACGAGTAGATAATACTCTTTTTTTTATTGTATTGACCTTTAAATTGTCATATAAATTTTATATATACTGCCTAGGCATTTAAAAGCATTTTGTATTACCTGATGCCTGTATACAACTTTTCATTATGGATACACAACAAACAATTTTTTTTTGAGATATCAATATTCAAAAAATGCGATTGGTCGATTTAAAAAGTATGATTTAATCCGTTACAAAAATTATTTTCAGTTTGATGTAATTTGTTTTTAAACACACTGTATAAACGACACCATATTGTCTTATCCCTTATTTAAATTACTATTTTACTGAGGAACCCTACCTATGGGGCCTCAAAATTGAATTCGTGCCGACACCAACGGACGTAGAAATAACCCTCACCTTTTTAGTCTGAAAACGCAAAAAATATCTTCTGGTCGTCTGTGCGTGCGTATAAATTTTAAATAATATTTTAAGTTCATTTTTTAAATTCTGTTTCTATGGTTCTAAAATGTTTATGTAACTAGTTATAATAAAAAAATTGACGGTTTTAAGAGAGACAATTCTGCGTGAATCATTTCATTTAAAATTTACTATTAATATTGAAATACTTGCGTCGACACGACAACTCTTGAACGAGAACTACGATCAACATATGGTTTTGATTTTCAGTTTAACTTTAATGCACTAAGGGCCAGTCTTTTCACCGACCAGAAAATATACACTTTCTGAACAATTTTTCGTCCATAAAATAACGTTCTGCCAATCAATACCGGAAAGTAGACGTTAGGGACCGGAAAGTTATTTTTTTGCATTAGAAAGGTTGTTATTATTAAGCTAATCGGTATTTTAAAAGAAAATGTAGACTAATCTGAATCTTTTAGTTGAACATTTAATACTCAAACTCATTTTCCTTAATATTTAAATGATAATTAATATATTAATAAATTAACTCTCTTTTTAACACTCATATTTAACATGTCTTGTTGGTTTAGAGCGTAGCATGTTGGTCTTTCAACCTAAATGTCGTGAGTTCAATCCTCACCGGTTAATTTTTTTAATTTTAAATTGATTTTTTTATTTATAAAATTAAAACTTTTAAAACAGTAGATGAGCCATCAATTTGCGAATAAGAGTATTCTAACCGAACAAATATTTTTTAATTAATCTTCAAGTAAGCAGGCAACACAATATACACAACATATTTTTCGTTTGCTAGTTAAGTTAGCCGTGTCTGTCAAATTAACGTAGTAAGATTTAAATTCGGAAAAATAAAACTATATATTTTTAATATGTGTGATCGTAGAAAAAATGTTGTGTGTAGTTGGAGCAGAAAGCTATTTACCGCTTACGATGAAATGCCGCACTCCGCTACGCGCCGCGCGGCAACTTTTTATCTTAAGTGGCAAAGTAGCACTTTCCGCTCTTAATACACAAAAAACTATTACCGGTCCCTGTTTCTTATTTTTCCGATCGCTGTTTGATAATACAGTTTGCCTTGATTTCGTTATTATGGTAACAACGTTCCGATTTAATGCCAAGTGACAGTTCGTCGATTTTTAATATATTGTTTGTCAAACTTGTCTTTGCAAATTTAAAAATATGGATTCAGATTTTGAATTATCTGACATAGAAAATGAAAATTTGGTTAGTTTATGCAGTTGTATCCATTATCTAGTTTTAGTATTTGTTAATCACTATATTAAATAAAATAAATAATTTGAGTTTACATCGGTGTCGGTCTTAAAAAGAATATTACATGTCACGCGATCGAAAATTAGTGTTAAGCAGGTCTCGCCAAGCTTCCAGGTCTCGCCTACCTACGGCTCGCCCTGCAAAATACTACTTTCCGGTCTTGTAACGTAAATTACTATTACTTGATTATACTTAAAGGACCCAAATATTTTTACATAGGCAGGCTTAAGGGGTAAATGACCCAAATATTTTTACTTGGAGAGCCGTAAGTGGCAAAGGGACCAACAATTTTGATGTGGGTATGCTTAATGGAAAAAGAGACAAATGCTTTTACATGGGCCGGCTTAAAAGCTTAAGGGCTTAAATACGTTTACATATGCAGGCTTAAGCGGTAAAATCGTTAAATAGTTTTACATGTGCAAGCTTAAGGGTAAAGAGACCAATTATTTTTACATGGCAGGCTTAAGAGCTAATAATGTGAAGAGCCTTTTGTGGTTAAGCCTAAGTAACTCTAATGCTTCACAACGTCTGTTTCTCGTTTGTTTTGTACTTCGAGTTTGTCCGCGGGAACGTCCCGTTAAAGTTTAAACCACCAATTTAGAGACTTTCAAATTTGAAATAAAAATAGTTATATGTTTACATACCTACTGATGTAACTTTAACAGTTCCATCTAAACTGAAATTAGCATCTCTTTTGGATCTATATTGTCTGTCCAACCAATCCTTCATTTCCTTCTCAGACTCCAAATCCCACAAACTCAACGATTCATTCTTCTTAGCTTCTTCGATCTGTTTCTTAATAATTTTCTGTATTTCCTCCTTCTCCTTGATTTTGTCTATATGAGTATTGACGTCCCTTTGTTCGAACCTGGACTTTCTCAATCGCATTTCTTCATTTTTGACGTATGAATCTTTTAAGATCTCCGTCGGTACGTAGTCGACGTCGTGCAGGAGTCTGTTTCTCGATCTTCGGACGTTGGTGTAATCGTAAATTCCGTTATTTTTTTCGGACAAATTCTTTTTTTTGCTCGATGACGTCTCTTGCCTTCTGGAGATGTTAGTGTTGTCTTTGCTTCTAGGATCTCTGGTGTTGGCCATTTCTAGATTCCGATCGAGAGGCGAGTGTTTTGGATCGTAAGGGATGGTGTTTTCCATTGATGGATAGTAGTTGTTGTCGTCGTAGTCTTGGTCCAATAATGCTGTATCCTTTAAAAAATTATAAAATGAGTGAAAGTACAACAAATCGTAATAAATCGTAATGAATCGTAATGAATCGTAATGAATCGTAATGAATCGTAATGAATCGTAATGAATCGTAATGAATCGTAATGAATCGTAATGAATCGTAATGAATCGTAATGAATCGTAATGAATCGTAATGAATCGTAATGAATCGTAATGAATCGTAATGAATCGTAATGAATCGTAATGAATCGTAATGAATCGTAATAAATCGTAATAAAGGGGTTGCGACATACGATGTATTCTATCTACAATACGCGAATTCATTAATAATGAATTAAATTTAAATATTTATATCGAACACAATAAAAATATTATTTAAACAGAACCGTTTATATATTTTTTATAATTTGGCAGGCTTGATGACTAGAATTTTGAATAAAAATAGCGCCCAAGATTGAAGGCTATGTCGCAATCCCCTTAGATATATTATGATCCCTTCACACTGGCAGCTATTGCTTTACAGGTGCTAGAACGCCTAGATACGCAGTCCAACGACCTGTCAAAATTGCTGCTTGTGTCCCAACAAACAATGAATTGCCGGGATACTGCTGGCTTTCTGTTGTAATTGAAAGGAAAATGAATGATACAATTTAAAAGGTAAAAGTCTACTTTTGCCCTTTCGATAGTGGCCCAACGTTATGTTGGTTGATGGTGGCTTTATGAAGGGTAAGTATCTGTATTGGGCAAAAGCATGGTAAAAGTCAGAAGGCTTTTTACTGGGGTGCTTTGACAGGGTCAATAATGTTATATAGATTGCTCAAAGCGAGTCGCATTGCGAGCGGCCATAATGCCTCGCAAATGCTTAATAATCAGAATCGGTTTAGCAAAAATGTGTTTTAAAACAAATTTTCAGCTTTTGAATATAATACAAAAATAGAGTTACCTACATATTTACTTCAAGGCTTATGTTTATTTTGAAAAACATGGATGATCAATCTATATAACAATCTATGTATTGATCCTGTCAAATCCACCAGTCTAATTGAATACAATCTTGAAAATATTAGAACCATTAAATTGTTGAATATAACAAGATATTTTTAACCGTAACAAAAGAACTAGGTACAGCACTGTACAAGAATTGAAGAGAGAAGTGCACATTCAATTTGTCACGTAGTCATAAGCTTTGTCCCAACATCTCACAAAACCGTAATATTACGGTCATCGTCATGCGCAGTAAATAAAAACCTATCAATAAAGCCCAAAGTCGAACGGTTTTTATTTACTGCGCATGACGATGACCGTAATATTACGGTTTTGTGAGATGTTGGGACAAAGCTATTTATTCTCGCACAGTAGGTATACAACAAGCAACCGGATGTAGGCAATTAAATAAGTAGTAGATAGGGAAACATTTGAGCACACGCACGGATTTTTCCCCAGATCTGAGTTAATTTATACAGCAGATCTGGCAACACCCCACCGCAATATGGTAATAAATCATGGTGTGCAATGGTAATATATGTAAAAACCTTAAATTATACAAACCTTAGATGGAACATAAGACACTGCGCATAATCCCATTTCGAAATTATTTACACCCACCAATTAGAATTGAGAACATCACATGTCAGAGCGTTGTCCATCCGAATTTAATGTGTCAACGAGAATTAATTTGGTATTTTAGTGACTTAAATTTTGGAAATTAACGTTGAAAATGCCAATATGTGTTGCAAAAAGCTTTATTTATAATAAAAGTGCGAAAACTGATGAAGATAAAAGAAACTTACATTTATTTCGATGATTTATTTAATTTTTAAAGATTCTGTCGACGGCCATATTTGTTAATTTGAAAATAAACAGAATCGGACTTGGTCATTGGTACATGTTATAAGTAGCAAATAAAGGTTATTATTATAAACTGTTTACTATTTCTTGTTTCATGGGGAATCTTTTTTCAGGAAGTGGAAAGAGTAACATACAAACAAATACAAAAATATCAATTTCATTGCCAATTTATTCGTTTCAAACTTCACAACTGGTTTCAATAGTTTTTCAAAACTGTTTATTTAGTATGTCTCTATAACAGTATTACTCAAAGTGTGCTCCACGGAGCCCTGGGGCTCCGCAAAGCCTTTGTGAGGGTTCCGCGAAGAAAATAATCATAATAAAAAAAAAACTGTACTATCGCCACAAAATGGAGGGACCTAGCTTGAGGACCTTTTTTTTTGAGAAGTAATTTTTTAAGTCACTAAGAGGAAGGAGTATATGATTTTGCTTTAGGACTTTTTTTTAATTTTATTTTTTATGGGTGAAATGGATTTGGGATAATTCTTGCAAAAAATCTTTTGAATTAATCAAAAATAAATTAACAACAAATGATGTTCTTGTGCATTTTCAGCCTGAGTTGCCGATTAAATTAATCGTAGGAATAAGGGCCATGTTTTTAAAAAAATATTGAGAAGCCTATAGCTTCTGCTTCGCGTACCTTATCAAAGTCCGAACAAAAATATTCCCAAATTGAAAGAAAGGGCCTTGCAATAATTTTTGGCCTAAATAAATTTAATGAATATTTATTTGGACATTTTTTTATCCTAGTTACCTCTGGTAATTATTTTTAACCCAGCTAAAGGTATACCCCAATTTTCAGCCAACAGACTACGTAGATGGGCAGTAATATTGTCAAATTACAATTATAAAATTTAATATGTGAAATCGGAGCATAATATAAAGCCGATTGAATATCACGTTTACCTATTGAAAGTCAAAATGTTTCAATTTATTTGAATAATAACTGGTTAAATTTGATTTGTAATAATTGTTTATGAGGTTTTCATTCAAATAAATTGAGATTGGGGGGTTTCAAGAGTCAAAATGAAGAAAAATTTTAAAAATATTTTTTAAATTATGTGATTTATGTGTTTAGAGCTCCGTCAAATATTTCGCTTTTCAAAAAGGTTCCGTCGCTAAAAAAGTTTGAGAAACACTGCTCTTTAATAATATGGGATCTATCCATTTAATTTACGTTTTGTTATTTTCTCTAATTTTGACATATAAATTTTGTAATCGCAGCAAGTGTCAAATCGATCTACTTTATGCAACCAGTTGCATAAAGTAGAACATTATGCAACTGATTACGAAAAGTTGATTATGTCACCAGTTACGAAATGAAAATAAATAAAACTGCCTGTCGAAAAATCCAAAAATCCAAAAAAATAATAAATAATTGAGGGGTGTCTGAAAAAACCAGGCAGCTCCATTTTAATAAATTTATGGGAAATTGAAAGAAACCTCCTAAAAAATTCAAATTTTGTTTCTATGAGATTTTCTTTTTTCTGCGATAAAAGCGTGTAAAAATAGAAGTTTTTACAAAAAATATAGGTTACATTCTTCTTAGGTTATTGATCTTCATCTTCTGTTTCAGGTGACTGGCATTCTTGTGTTTCTGCAGGTAAAAGTTCCATAACATTATCCTTTTTTTAAAGGCAATGGGGCATTATAAATCTTAATTTGTACTTCTGAAAAAATCGGTACACAAGATTTCATCAGCTACAGAAAGCTGCCCGGTTCTTGCTGCAAACCGAAAGCAAGGCAGCTTCAAATAACGTTGCCATTTATGTAATGTTATGTGGAGACACCTGATTGTTGCAGGGAACGATTGGCCTATTTTTTTAAAGGGTAATTCAGTAAAAATCTCATTTTCGTAAAAAAGTGGAGCTGTCCGGTTATTGCAGCCACCCCTTCAATTGAACACCATTATTGAAAACTGCCTAGAAATGTTGCAGGTAAAATTTTGACGTACTCCTTTAAGGATAATGGGTAAAAACGTTTTTTTTTTTCAAATTTCTTGCAAGTAATGTCAAAAATCAGATCGGCAACACTGCACATATCCCTTATTTTTATTATTACTATTGGAAAAAAAACGTCATAGTGCAATCAAACACAACAATTTTCTGAAATATTTACCTATAAAAGAATGATGAATCATTTTTCAACACAATTTTATAAATAATCAAGTCAAAATTAAAAAAGATCTTGTATGAAAACACGTTACGAAATGCCGTTTTGTGTAACTCGTTCATTTTGCGGGACCTCGCTCCGCTCGTCCCGCAAATATTTACTCGTTACACAAAATAAGGCATTTCGTAACTGGTTACATAAATTGCTATTAATTGACTTCCTAATATTTTAAATCATTGAACAGTATTTTCCGTAAATAATTATAATTAAATCATAAATAATTACCGGCATATAAGTATCAAAACAGAGTAGGCTTTTGTCAAATAAACTTAAAATATTATAAGGAACGAAAAGGTAACCCATTTCTAATAAAATTTAATTATTTATTTTATTTTGGTGTGATCGTAGAAAAAATCTTGTATGTAATTCGAGCAAAAAGTACTTTGGCTGTTTCGATAACTTTTTGTCTCAACAGCTATTTTGTTACAATAATTTTATAAACTTTTACTTAGGGTCGATTTCACCGTTTTGTTAAACGAAGTTTAAAATATTAAACGAAGATTAGAATGACATTTTACATTAACAATGTCATTTTAATCTTCGTATAGTAATTTAAACTTCGTTTAACACAACGGTGGAATCGGCCCTTAGCTACTAGCTATATATTGATAAAGTGTTATTGCCCTCATCATAAATGAATCCTGCTAACAAATAAAGTCAAAGTCAAAAGAACGTCTCATAATTTTTCATCTTTTAGTTACCTACCAAAATTAGGTACTACAATACAAATATTTAAGTCCGGCCCAGAACCTCTCCCTACTCCTTCCACCCAGTTTTTCGGTTTTGACAAAATTCGCGCAGCGACAAATGCTTCCTATGTTACCTCTACCAAAGTATATGATACTTTGTCTCTACCCTTTCTAACCTCTTTGGTAAAAACCAATGAAGTGGAGAGGGGTAGAATGATAACTGTCAATGAAAAAGTCTAGACACTATGCACAATTTCGTTTTGCACATTTTGTAAACAAGATTCAGGGACGGTTTAACAAGATTTTGTGCAACAATTATAAAATAGTGCATCGGAAAATAATTAACAAGTATAATTTAATACTAAATTGAAATAAAAGCACAAAAAATCACAAATATACGCAAAATAACAAAGAATTGACGCCAAAAAAGCTTACAACAGCCACAACACAAACAAAAAACAGAGCTGAACATGAACATAATTGCTGAACAATGCCAATCCTGGAATTTGTTTACAGTGCTTTAGGGCAACCTCTCCTTGTCATTTACATGTGTAAGAATGGAAGGTTGAATCATGCATAATTTCTACACTCGTGATGGATGCGCAGACGGTACTTTATCGTTCTACCCTCTCTACTTCTTTGGTAAAAACTGGACAACTTGACTAAGGTAACAGGGTTTGCAACTCAAGCGCGGGGTTTGCATCTCGACTAAGGTGAGCAGGGGTGAAGTTAGCTACGATCCTTTATATGCATTATTTATCATTAGATTAAAAATATATATTATTAGATTTAAAGGTTTGACAATTTGCATTATTCGTCATTAGGTTTAAAAAAGAAAATTTTTATTTTTATATTTTACCATTGTATTCAGATCCGTTCCACCAGATGGTGGACTAGACAATAACAATGTGAAACAGAAAATAGTTATTATAAATAATACTCCCGAGTGAGATGAACAATAAAAATTGATGCTCCTATAGGGTCGCACATAGTTCTATTTATTCAACATGCACATTGGCATTTTACCCCACTCCAGTTCATTGTGGTTTGGTAGAAGACGACAAAACTATGAAGGACATGCCTTGGACATGATGGATCTTGCAGCCATGTATTGCTACTGTCCATTGTCCTCCAAGATAATTTGCATTGTTATTGTTCTACTAGTCTATCTAAATACAATGATTTTACATTTGTTACCATGTTGATTTTTGATTCCGCTATCTGTCAAAGAGATCTATCGATCTAGACGGCCTACTGGAGAAGCGGTGTTGCCATTTAATGACAAGTTTCTAGGTGTTCTTGCCATTAATACATGCAATGCGGTGTTTTCAGATCTACTCGATACATTTCCCTAGATCTGGTGAAAAATCTGTGAAAGTGTGCTCAAGTGTCTCTACCTAAGTACCAAGGATTTGTCTCCAGTGTTTGGTGCACGTAGAAAATCACGTACACAACAGTTTATATCATAAAACAAAATCCGTCAAAAGAAGCGCCTACGTTGACCAAAATCATTGGTCCGACTCCAGACAGGAGGCGAGGCAATATAAACCGTATCAGTAAGTTCAAATACAAGTCTCTATACAAAACAAATATTCATTCCATTTTAATCGGTCTCACTGTTCACATTCGCAGGAGTCAAAAAAATACAAATATATTGTTTCGATTCCAAAAAAATCTGATGTGTCCAATACATGACTTTCCTATCTAGTTATTATAGGCTTTTTGCGGTTATTTTGTACAACCTATTGCAGCACCTCTATAAATGTTTAGAGGATAAACTAAATATATACATTTTCCACATACATCTAACTCGAAACATTTTTCTATAGAGATTCATTGAAAACGAAAATACGGAAAAATTTAAATTTAACACTTTTCTTCCAATTTTTCCATTACGGTCCATTTTAGAAAAATTATGTAAAAAACTAAAATTATAGAGATCGATACTGCAAACAACTTTTAGTTTAACAATTTTCTTAAAAATCAGAATTTGGCACATTTTGTCAAATTTCCCGAATACGGACCATTTCAGAAAAATTTGGTAAATAGCAAAAATTATAGATAATAATATCAGAAGTAACTTTTACTCGAACAATTTTCTTCTCCAAACATATATAACAGATATATAAAATATAAAAACAACCTCCTATAAAGTACCGCCCAAATGTTCCGACTTTGTCCAAAATCTAATCATTTCACCTCAGGCCGAAATAAAACTTATGTTTAGAATTTAATGTGTTTTCCTGTGGCCGTTTTTGAGCTTCCCGCAAAATTCGAAATTTACACATTTTCTCAAATATCTCGAATACGGTCCATTTAAGAGAAATTATGTGTAGGATACAAATTATTGGGAATTGTATTACAAACAACTTTTATTTATACAATTTTTATAAAAAAATATTTTTTTTACATTTTGTCAAAATTCTCGAATACGGACACCATTTTAGGAAAATTTTGTATGGAATAAAAATTATATATAATAATATTATCAGTAACTTTTATTTGAAAAATAAATAACAGATATATTCATTAAAATATAAAAACGGCCTCCTATAAATTACCCCCCCCCGTTGTTCCGACTCTGCCCAAAATCTAATCAATTCATTGCAGACTAGAATACACACACACACACCCACGCACGCACGCACGCACGCACACACCCACGCACGCACGCACCCACGCACCCACACACACACACACACACACATACACACACACACACACCACACACACACACCTACACCTACACCTACACCTACACCTACACCTACACCTACACCTACACCTACACCTACACCTACACCTACACCTACACCTACACCTACACCTACACCTACACCTACACCTACACCTACACCTACACCTACACCTACACCTACACCTACACCTACACCTACACCTACACCTACACCTACACCTACACCTACACCTACACCTACACCTACACCTACACCTACACCTACACCTACACCTACACCTACACCTACACCTACACCTACACCTACACCTACACCTACACCTACACCTACACCTACACCTACACCTACACCTACACCTACACCTACACCTACACCTACACCTACACCTACACCTACACCTACACCTACACCTACACCTACACCTACACCTACACCTACACCTACACCTACACCTACACCTACACCTACACCTACACCTACACCTACACCTACACCTACACCTACACCTACACCTACACCTACACCTACACCTACACCTACACCTACACCTACACCTACACCTACACCTACACCTACACCTACACCTACACCTACACCTACACCTACACCTACACCTACACCTACACCTACACCTACACCTACACCTACACCTACACCTACACCTACACCTACACCTACACCTACACCTACACCTACACCTACACCTACACCTACACCTACACCTACACCTACACCTACACCTACACCTACACCTACACCTACACCTACACCTACACCTACACCTACACCTACACCTACACCTACACCTACACCTACACCTACACCTACACCTACACCTACACCTACACCTACACCTACACCTACACCTACACCTACACCTACACCTACACCTACACCTACACCTACACCTACACCTACACCTACACCTACACCTACACCTACACCTACACCTACACCTACACCTACACCTACACCTACACCTACACCTACACCTACACCTACACCTACACCTACACCTACACCTACACCTACACCTACACCTACACCTACACCTACACCTACACCTACACCTACACCTACACCTACACCTACACCTACACCTACACCTACACCTACACCTACACCTACACCTACATCTACACCTACACCTACCTGTATACAGATAGAAAAGTAAAAAGGTGAGGATTGCGGGCTACATTGAGAAACTTGTTCGCATGGCGTTTAATTAATTGTTTTATATTATTGTAATGTAAATCGTAATTTTAATTTATTTGACTTGGATTAGGTCGAAAAAGGCAACTCCCGTGAAACGCACATGAAAAGAACGTTCATGTACATCTTAATGATAATGTTTATCATCAGTTGGTGATACTCGTACGGTCTTCTGACTTTTTTCCAAAAAGTCGCGATACGTGCTAGTTTGGATAAAGGAACAAAAAAAGAAAAGGAAAACCATAGACGGACCATAAGGTTTTAGGAATAGGTTCATCAAATATAATTTATTGATGTAAAGAAAATAAAAGCAAATTTGACGTGAACAACCTATTAGGATACAATTGTAAATACATTATAATCGTTTATGAGATTAAAATAAAGAAAATGTAAATGTTATATAGGAGCGTGACGATCCATATAAATATACTGAGATAAGAGTTGTAAGCAAATTGTAAAACACTAACGACTAGTTACTTAAATAAAGCATTTTGTGAAACGTATATCCTTTTTTCGATAACTTCAAGTATCCAGTCCAGAGCACAGAAGGTATACACAAAAAGAAGTAAACAGCAACCAGAACTCTCATCTTTTTTCACTAACCGAAAACTAATATCGCCTTGTTATTTGTTATGACATGTACTTAACTGTATAATCTAAAGAAAATACTTACTCTTTCTTCAGGAAAACTTTCCATATCGTCGTTAACGGCCATATAATTTTGCAAACCAGCATTGCGATCCTTATTATGTCTAAAGCTAGACGCTCCATATTTTTTAATACCTATCGGTATCGAATCAGTTTTATAACCTTCGTCAACTTCCGACTGCCCTGAACTACTAATGTGTATCTTCGGATGCGACTTGTAATATTCTTTCAATTGCTTTAAAATAGAAATGTGCGTGTTGAATTCGCTCGGAATTCTTTCAACTGTAACATAGAAATATTATTTGGATTAGAGGATTCCACAAGGTACCTATTTGGACCGCCTAAAAGTTGATAGGTTTATAAATACCTGAATTATAAACGACAAATCCCGGTGGCTGGTGGAACTGACTTAAGGCATTTAATTTTAATCCCACGGTGTTGTTAGAGTGGTCTAAACATTCTCCATACATATCGCTAGCTGTTCAAAAATAATAATTATCGATTAATTAATTAATTAATTTTAAAATAATAGTACCTTTCGTTTCGTCCAGTTTTTTCAAATTTCCTAGATTGGTACATTCTGAAGTCCAAAATAAGTACATATCGTAACCATAAGATTCAGAACTAACGGTTAAACCACTAGACTGGCTTATTACTCCACCGGTTATGGGTCTGTACATGGATTCACCAGATTTACCATCAATTATGAAGGTCTGAAAATATTTGAAAATACAGTTTTCATTATAATAAAAATTATTTTTCGAAATAATATTTACTTGTGTGTAGTTATAATTGAGAATGTCGTCGTATTTCTGATAAATAATCAAAAAATCCGTAACATTATCGAAATTGAAGTAAGCCGGAGTTGGACTGATATTAGTCTCTGGACTGGGACCAGGCACTGTGAAATTCCAGATTTGTTCGAAATTTTTACCATTTATGGCGACCAAAGTTGAATTGTACATGGCTGTTATTATATCTGGAATATTATCTCCTGTGATGTCTACGAGAACTGATTGGGTTAATATTCCTTTGAATTTATCTTCGTATATGCTTTTTGTCGAGTTACCCTAAAATTTAAAAAATATACAGAAAACGTAGTGGATACTGCATCTTTATTGAGCGACTAAGACTAATATATGATAAGCAAATTACTAAATTTTTGGAACAGATGTATTAAAAGTTTGTGCTGAAAGCATACTTTATTTGTGCTCACCAAAACTCCTATAGAAATATCTTCTATAGGTGCTGCAGTTAAGTTTCCGCCAGAAGATGGCGATCCAGTACCAAATATTACAAACGACGTTGTACTATTTTGAACGAGAATTTGAGGCATGTAAAAAATTTTAGCGTCCCCTGGAGTCCTTACGTTTTTTATTTCTTTTCCGGTTTTACCGGAAAACAAAACTAGATGGCCATCTCGTTCAGCTGAAATAGAACATCATATGGGTTTTGGTAATATTTAAAAACAGTTAAAATGAAAATCTCACTGTTTAAAGAGGAATGCGATGCGATAATATCCGGTACAGAATCGTTATTTTGATCTGGAATGAAAGACGCAACGAAAACATTGAGCCTTCCTGTGTTTAGAGTCCATATAGTTGTTCCGTTTTTGGAATTGATTATTGCAATTGTCTAAAAATGGATACAATTATAACATGTCTATAGACTTAATTATTTTTAAATAGAATGTATAGAACTGTTGTTGCATCCATAGAGCTCCTTCAAAAGTATTAACTGTTGAATATTTTCTTTTAAAATCGCCCTATATAACTTACCCCTTCCATGCCTATGACCAAACAATCATTCTGCTTGTCACCATTAATGTCTACTGTACATTGTATAGAGAATATCGTATCGTTGAACCAATGTCTCCATATTATGTCACCCGTTAATCCATTTAAGGCTATAACACCTCCTTCGCAAGGATATGGAACGCCCATGAATATAGGGCAAAATATATCCGGGGGTAAGATGTTGTAATTGTCACCTAAAATTGCGTTTTCACGGTCGTTAGTTAAATTCGTAACCCTTAAACACCTTAAATCCTTTAAACCCCTTAAATCCTTTAAACCCCTTATATCCTTTATATCCCTTAAATTCTTTATACCTCTTAAATCTCTTAATTCTCTTAATTCTCTTAATAATTCTCTTAATTCTCTTAATTCTCTTAATTCTCTTAATTCTCTTAATTCTCTTAATTCTCTTAATTCTCTTAATTCTCTTAATTCTCTTAATTCTCTTAATTCTCTTAAATCTCTTAAATCTCTTAAATCTCTTAAATCTCTTAAATCTCTTAAATCTCTTAAATCTCTTAAATCTCTTAAATCTCTTAAATCTCTTAAATCTCTTAAATCTCTTAAATCTCTTAAATCTCTTAAATCTCTTAAATCTCTTAAATCTCTTAAATCTCTTAAATCTCTTAAATCTCTTAAATCTCTTAAATCTCTTAAATCTCTTAAATCTCTTAAATCTCTTAAATCTCTTAAATCTCTTAAATCTCTTAAATCTCTTAAATCTCTTAAATCTCTTAAATCTCTTAAATCTCTTAAATCTCTTAAATCTCTTAAATCTCTTAAATCTCTTAAATCTCTTAAATCTCTTAAATCTCTTAAATCTCTTAAATCTCTTAAATCTCTTAAATCTCTTAAATCTCTTAAATCTCTTAAATCTCTTAAATCTCTTAAATCTCTTAAATCTCTTAAATCTCTTAAATCTCTTAAATCTCTTAAATCTCTTAAATCTCTTAAATCTCTTAAATCTCTTAAATCTCTTAAATCTCTTAAATCTCTTAAATCTCTTAAATCTCTTAAATCTCTTAAATCTCTTAAATCTCTTAAATCTCTTAAATCTCTTAAATCTCTTAAATCTCTTAAATCTCTTAAATCTCTTAAATCTCTTAAATCTCTTAAATCTCTTAAATCTCTTAAATCTCTTAAATCTCTTAAATCTCTTAAATCTCTTAAATCTCTTAAATCTCTTAAATCTCTTAAATCTCTTAAATCTCTTAAATCTCTTAAATCTCTTAAATCTCTTAAATCTCTTAAATCTCTTAAATCTCTTAAATCTCTTAAATCTCTTAAATCTCTTAAATCTCTTAAATCTCTTAAATCTCTTAAATCTCTTAAATCTCTTAAATCTCTTAAATCTCTTAAATCTCTTAAATCTCTTAAATCTCTTAAATCTCTTAAATCTCTTAAATCTCTTAAATCTCTTAAATCTCTTAAATCTCTTAAATCTCTTAAATCTCTTAAATCTCTTAAATCTCTTAAATCTCTTAAATCTCTTAAATCTCTTAAATCTCTTAAATCTCTTAAATCTCTTAAATCTCTTAAATCTCTTAAATCTCTTAAATCTCTTAAATCTCTTAAATCTCTTAAATCTCTTAAATCTCTTAAATCTCTTAAATCTCTTAAATCTCTTAAATCTCTTAAATCTCTTAAATCTCTTAAATCTCTTAAATCTCTTAAATCTCTTAAATCTCTTAAATCTCTTAAATCTCTTAAATCTCTTAAATCTCTTAAATCTCTTAAATCTCTTAAATCTCTTAAATCTCTTAAATCTCTTAAATCTCTTAAATCTCTTAAATCTCTTAAATCTCTTAAATCTCTTAAATCTCTTAAATCTCTTAAATCTCTTAAATCTCTTAAATCTCTTAAATCTCTTAAATCTCTTAAATCTCTTAAATCTCTTAAATCTCTTAAATCTCTTAAATCTCTTAAATCTCTTAAATCTCTTAAATCTCTTAAATCTCTTAAATCTCTTAAATCTCTTAAATCTCTTAAATCTCTTAAATCACTTTAATCTCAAATTTTTTTCAAACGGCAAAGAGCACTTTCCGCTCTTGATACACAAATATCTATTGTCGTTTTCCTCTCCACAAAACCCCATTAACAGAAAAAAGTTGTTTAGGTAGAATATGTTTGATTGGGTTACCAAAGAAGTACGTGATATTACATCACTTGCAATATTCAAAAGGATTATTAAAAATGTCTCATATCAGCTGAACCATGATTTAACCAAAATAAATAAAACCGCTATTCTAAATTTTTAATTGGTAATTGTACAGGGCCGGGCAGAGCAACTTGCTTATTTGAAGGAGGGTGGGGGTAGGCACAGTCGAAATAGTGGGTCGTAAAGTTTAAACTATCAACTATCCCACTATCCCGCTTCGCGTTCGTTGTCACGGTGTATTTTAGTAACGGTCGCTCAATCATCGCCACGCAACGTGCATTCCATGTTCATTTCAATATTGCGTCCCGTGGCCGTATTCCCTTCGTCTACTCTATCATGTTAACTGGATCCAACGGGATAAAACTTTACGACCCACTTGTTCGACTGTGCCTACCCCCCCACCCTTCTCCGAGCAACCGTTGCTCCAGGGTGCCAAATTCAAATAGGCAAATTGCTCTGCCACACACTGTATATTACTTCTAAGTTTAGTAATTTTAAATCCTTACATGATTTTTTTTAATTTATGTTCTGCATGAGAATTTTGACATGCATCATTTTTCAATTTGCTACTAAGTTTTCATGAAATACAGAACAAATATTATTTCAATGAAATGAAATGAAAAAAGATTATTTTTTCTTCATAACATTTTCCATGGTTTTGCCGTATGTTACATTAAAGAGTTCTTTGACGAAGTGTGTCTAATTTAACATACTTGTTTAACTATATTTAGATACTATGTTTCGATAATTGATTTTAACTAGATATCATACATTACTTTCTAACCCTTTGGTATACCGGAAATTTGAGAAAATAATCAGTATTATCCTTTGACTAGGAAAGAGAAGGAATGCTTAACTTACTCGTATTTAATTTATTTAAATTCTGGTTGCGCCTTTATCTACAGCTTGGACAGAGAAAGAGTTATTTCATGCCTTTAAAATCTGGTGCCAAACGATGACATATTATGTCAGTGGCATCCAGACTTTAAGTCTTGGGAGTAGTGGTATTAAAGTTAAGTGTAAGGGTAGTGGCAATATTTTAATAATACATATAAAAAGTTAGGTTTAAATTTTTTTGGCGGTAATTACCCCCTTACCTTCTTGTCCCTCCTTGTCTCGTCTGCCCCCCTTACCCCCTCTCACTCCCTTCCTTCCCTAACCCCCCCCCCCCGTATAAGCGCATCTGTATTGAGTTCGGAGTTATGTATCCCCTCTCTTTCCTAGTTTAAGGTATACCGTTGACTTGAATATATTGTATTGTTTCCAAATAGTAATTAAATAGAAACAAACACAATAAATATGGCTTAGTAACGAAAAATTTGGAAAAGGTAATAGTACTTACCTGTCCCAAATCCGAAAATAATATCATCAGTCCCATCGCTATTGACATCCAAGATTCGTACAGGCGAATCAGTGGTAAGTTTAGGTAAATTTACCGACCATACATCAGTTACTTTTAAACTATCACACGGCAGAAGCTTATTCACTTTGAAATCATCCGCCCTCTGCGATTTTTTTATCAACCAGTCTCTGAATTTACCCAAAGGCAGAGGATAAATTGATACTAACACCACTACTAAAATTATTAAACCTGGAAACAAATTTGAATATTTTAGCGACAAAAAATGAATAGCAGCTGATGTTTCTTTTATTTTTATACAAACTGAAATAAATAATTTAATTTACCAATTAATATGCTGAGAGCTGCGAAAACGTAGCAACAAGGTCTGCAAAAATCTTTGCACAAAGGTTTCGCTTTTAACCTCGACGTTCCAAGTCCATCGGGCCTTCCGCATTTTCGTCTTATGGCCATCAGCGGACGTTTTACAGTTAAATCGTCTGCAAACTAAAAAATTAAAACAAGTAACAATTGCAATTTCCGAAAATAAATACATTAAAGTAACCGCAAAATATAATTATTTACAAAAAATATACATGACATTATTTTGAGCTAGTCAACAAAAAAACCTCTTATTCGCGTTTGAAGCAAATATTTTCGATATCGTCCCAATTTTAATTTGTATAAAATTTAAAGTATTTTTATCCTTTATTTTTGTATTTATATTTGGTAAACAACACTATAAATCGACACAAGCTGGCCCCACGTTGGGCGCCAAAAATGTAACGTACAAAGGTACGTTGGTTACCTAGAGTAGTACCGCTAGCTACTGTGGAAGATGGGGTGGTCCGGTTCTTGTTTTTTGCGCTATGTTAATTTGCCAGCACACCCTGGATACATCCAGCAACCTAACAACTATAGGTATTCTAATGCCCAAGATTTTTCGCATTCGATATTATCGTTTAACAACCAACTGTATTATTTGCTGTTATAACAACTTCATTTTATTTTCTCGTTAGCCGAAACTATAATAGCTATTTATGAAACCAATTACGAAATGCCTTATTTTATGGAACGAGCCAATTTTTGCGGGACGAGCAGAGTGAGATCCCGCAAAATGAAGGAGTTAAAATGAAGGAGTTACATAAAACGTAACTTCATAACGTGTTACATAAAATATTATTTCAAATTTTGACTAGATTATTTATAAAATTGTGTTTTGGTAAAGCATTACTGACATCTATGCAACCAATATTATTTTCTAATATTGTTGGTTGCGTATGCATAACTTCATTCGTTTAATCGACAAAATTCAAATCATATTAATTTATTGTCGACAATATATGTTTGGTTAGTGAACTTACAACCTAGTAATAATATTATTTCGTACTTATTTTCCGTTCTAAATCTTTACCAACGTACCCTCCTTTAATATAAATTATCAACAATATCAATGTATCAATTTTAAAACCAAAAAAATGTTTATTTTATTTCTTTTCATTCCGCTTCTAAAGTAGATCGTTTTGACACTTGTTGTGATGTCGCTTTATATGTCAAAATTAGAAAAATTATTTCATTTGGCATTGCTTTAGAGTTTTCTTTTCATTTGAATAACACTAGCACATTTGAGACTTATACTCCATAAAAAGTTTTATTCATTTGATTGAAGTTACTTTTCTTATTGAAAATGTTTCTTAATATGGTAGTTAAACATACTGTTTTAACTTAAATAAAAATTATATAGTTTTAGAGGCACCATTTTGTACCATTTGACTAACTACAGATAATATATTTTCTTGAAACTCATCCAGGATTCTGCCTGTGACCGTTATTATTGTGGTACGATTGCAAACATTGCAATCTTGTCCTTATGTACATTTGCGAGTAAGTTATTTACAAAATGCAAGAATATTAACGATCACAAAACTGAATCATGGGAACCCCAAAAGATACGAGATACATATTTGAAATTTCCGAATTTACGGTTTCCTACGGACTCTATATAGTCTATTAATTTCCTACGAATGACGAAATTTAAAATTAACTGTTTCTGTAAAATGTCAAATACCTAGTTTTTTTTTGAAAAAGTTATTTGAAACATTTATTTGAAAAAGTTATTTGAAAGTTATCTGAAAAATTTGAAAAGGTTGAAAAGGTTGAAAAAGTTATTTAAAAAAGTTATTTGAAAAAGTTATTTGAAAAAGTTATTTGAAAAAGTTATTTGAAAAAGTTATTTGAAAAAGTTATTTGAAAAAGTTATTTGAAAAAGTTATTTGAAAAAGTTATTTGAAAAAGTTATTTGAAAAAGTTATTTGAAAAAGTTATTTGAAAAAGTTATTTGAAAAAGTTATTTGAAAAAGTTATTTGAAAAAGTTATTTGAAAAAGTTATTTGAAAAAGTTATTTGAAAAAGTTATTTGAAAAAGTTATTTGAAAAAGTTATTTGAAAAAGTTATTTGAAAAAGTTATTTGAAAAAGTTATTTGAAAAAGTTATTTGAAAAAGTTATTTGAAAAAGTTATTTGAAAAAGTTATTTGAAAAAGTTATTTGAAAAAGTTATTTGAAAAAGTTATTTGAAAAAGTTATTTGAAAAAGTTATTTGAAAAAGTTATTTGAAAAAGTTATTTGAAAAAGTTATTTGAAAAAGTTATTTGAAAAAGTTATTTGAAAAAGTTATTTGAAAAAGTTATTTGAAAAAGTTATTTGAAAAAGTTATTTGAAAAAGTTATTTGAAAAAGTTATTTGAAAAAGTTATTTGAAAAAGTTATTTGAAAAAGTTATTTGAAAAAGTTATTTGAAAAAGTTATTTGAAAAAGTTATTTGAAAAAGTTATTTGAAAAAGTTATTTGAAAAAGTTATTTGAAAAAGTTATTTGAAAAAGTTATTTGAAAAAGTTATTTGAAAAAGTTATTTGAAAAAGTTATTTGAAAAAGTTATTTGAAAAAGTTATTTGAAAAAGTTATTTGAAAAAGTTATTTGAAAAAGTTATTTGAAAAAGTTATTTGAAAAAGTTATTTGAAAAAGTTATTTGAAAAAGTTATTTGAAAAAGTTATTTGAAAAAGTTATTTGAAAAAGTTATTTGAAAAAGTTATTTGAAAAAGTTATTTGAAAAAGTTATTTGAAAAAGTTATTTGAAAAAGTTATTTGAAAAAGTTATTTGAAAAAGTTATTTGAAAAAGTTATTTGAAAAAGTTATTTGAAAAAGTTATTTGAAAAAGTTATTTGAAAAAGTTATTTGAAAAAGTTATTTGAAAAAGTTATTTGAAAAAGTTATTTGAAAAAGTTATTTGAAAAAGTTATTTGAAAAAGTTATTTGAAAAAGTTATTTGAAAAAGTTATTTGAAAAAGTTATTTGAAAAAGTTATTTGAAAAAGTTATTTGAAAAAGTTATTTGAAAAAGTTATTTGAAAAAGTTATTTGAAAAAGTATCAACTTCGGATTCACCCTGTTTATTTATCTTTGTCCCATTCTTTATAATACATGACTTAATATTTCGTTAGTTGCAGTTTCGACCAATTTTTAGACACATTTTGGCTTATTGTGAGTATTTTATACTTATCATTATTTTTATTTATTTTCTATTCTATGTTTAGAAAATCAATATTAATTCTCAACAAATTGGGGAGTAGTTTCCATCTGTAATTTTGTTAGGTGGTTAGTTTTCAAGAACGTGGGTTACTTTGACGAGTATTTATTGACTATGCAAGGGCGACTCCAAGACAAATTTTCGGGGGGGGGGGGGGGGGGGGGGGGGCATTGCCTTTAGATATTGCCTTTAGATATTGCCTTTAGATATTGCCTTTAGATATTGCCTTTAGATACTCCCTTTTTAGCATATGTTTTTGAATAAAAGGCTAATAAATCATAAGAATTTGCATCTCGGGGGGGAGAGGGGGACATAGCCCCACCATGCCCTCCCTCCCCCCCTGGAGCCGCCATTGTTAGTGACAGTGTTTTAATTATTTTGTGTAGATTTAGGATGGAAAACAGGGAACGAAACAGAATTACTACTAATTGAAAGTTGTCAGTTCACCACCAAAATCTATTTTTATATAGCCAACCTTTGTTTCTTCGATATAAACCTTCAAAATAAATGCAGATTTTGATTTTAAAACCAAAAAAAGGTTTATTTTTATTTGATTTCCGCTTGACATAATGAATGTTTTATGTGTCAAAATTAGAAAAATACTCTTTAAAATTATCTTTTAATATAGGCATTACGTATAAATGAAAATAGAGACTATGTATCTGACGCATTTGACAGCTAATGCGCAAAGTAGATTCTTATTCATACGTGGGCGGAAAGTATACTTTCTCTCGCATATAATTTTTTCTTTTTTCACAATTAAATATATCAGAATTATTAGCATATCTACATTTAAATGAACAAAGACACCGCCGAGATGCTTACTCGAAAAACACTCAAACAACAGTAAAATAAGTGGAGTGTGGACTTTTGTCACACTTATGTATAGTACCTCATCTGACTGCAAAAAGAGGCATGTCTTGTTTTTTGCTTGCTATTTGTAATTATGTAGATGGGAGGAGGGTGAACAACTTGTACTAAGTTCCGGTGGTGGGAGCTGTCGTGTAACCTGACAAATTCAAAATAATGTTCCTTATCTATGGGTCTTTTGTTTTTTGACGGAAATGAAATATTATACTTCTAGACCTTTTTAACAATAAAAAAAATACTTTGTAAGCACTTTTTGTTGTCCGGTTTTGCTACTTTCGGTGTAAGTGTAGGAATTTCCCAAATTCGTAAAAGACGTCGTTGGAGCCACAGAAAGGCTTTTGAACTTTATACACATTTTTTTTAACACAAAATAGAGGTCAAACTATGTTGTTTTGTGAAAAACGATAACACGTATCAATAAACGTTGACACCATTCCTTTTCCACTCGCTCCAATGCCAATATCTGTAGCTTTCACTCGCACTTGTGCTAAAGAATATTAGACGGTATTCATTGGGGCCGATACCGTATGTTGGAAGACTAATGTATGTTTAATAATAATAATCGTTTTGTTAAAAAATGTGTAAATGTGTAAAAATTATTGTAAAGTAACACTGCTCTACGGTATGTGGGTTTTCCTCAAATTCAAGCATTACGTCCAATTTGGTATCATTACTCAGAGAATTCAAATGTTTTTTACCTGCCTTAAATTGTTTTTCAATTTAATAATTGTCCCTTGATATATAGTCGTCAAATCGGGATATTTTTCTTGAAATGGGCGAACAACTTCGATCTGTGTTCGTGTTTTATCTCCGTAACTAATCATTTGTAAAATTTTTATTTTATGCATTTGTGTTAAATAAACCTTGTTTCTGATCTAAAGCTAATGAATTCAAATGGCACGTACATAGGGTTGCACCTTTTTGAAAAGTGAATAAAGGACTAAGATGCTAACAGGGGCTCCGGTATACAAAAAGTCCTTACCCTTTTACTGAACTTCTAAAAAAAAAGTTGCCGAGCTTGTAACAAAAAAAAGGTCCTCGGTTTATATATTTTTGTACAAACCATGTCCCTTCCAAAGATATGTGCTGTAAAAAAACATTAGCCGTAAAAAAAGTTATTTACCGTAAAAAAGGACATTTTAAGCTTTAAAAAGTCATAAGGACATTTTGCTTCAAAAAAGGACTGTCCTATTCAAAAAAGGACAGGTGGCAACCCTACACGTACAACACTGATAGCAATTAATGTTATGCGGTTACAATCACGCAGCAAGTGGCTAAGGCGATTTAAACGAAATTAAGAGTATGAAGAATGTTGATAACTTTGTTGTCCTTTTTTTGCTAATACCTTCGAAAAGGGTCATTGAAATTTCTTTCTCACTATCAAGAACAAAACTCAATTAGTTTTTAATTGTTTAGGGTGTTGTAGCGAATTTCATCGATTTGATGAATTTGTTAATGTTTGCAATACATTAGAACCACACCATTTTTAAATAGAGAATGAATAAACCTTTCAAACCTTCCTATTTGAAAATTTGAAGGTTACAACTGTCACTCGAAGAGGGTTGAAGGTAGGGGTGAAATTTTCACGTCGCATGATGTCATTTTATAATCTTAAATTGATGTGTTCCGGAATTTTTTTAAATATGCAGAGTAATTGAACTACTAAATTATTTATTTCATTTGGCTGTTACACACTGTATTGTATAGGTATTTATAAATCACTAATACAAAGAACGTTTTACATTTATAATTAATTTTAAAAGATACCATACACGCGGCATATTCTAGGATCAATACGCTGTTTTATTCGCGTGTAAGATACATTTGGAGCTGCATATGACTACGTACATAGAAATAATAGATTTACACCAATATCAATTATTAATATTTACAAACCTTATAACCGTTTTTTCCATCTCTAATAAAAACTTCATCTTCTACATCGCTTAGATCATCTTCATCGAGAGATATACTTTCCCGGATTTCACCGCGTAGATTCATACCTGTATATGCGGATACCTTCATTGAGACTAAAATCAAATAGGTAGATAGATATTAATATACGATAGATTTGCCATTAAAAATAATGATGTCTATTTAATTAAAATTAAGCGTCATATGGAACCTGTTGCTAATATTTATGGAGATAAGATTATTTCTCTATATTGTATTAAAGTTATAGCTTAATCATTTGTGTTTTCCTATAGTTCATATTATGCTACTATTGAAGGCAACTGTTTATTTATATTTTACGTTTGTATGAAATACCGCAAAGTAATTGAGAGGTTTTAACATTTACTTACCTAATTATTGAATTGTAAGACGAACTATTTCTAAAATATCACAGTCGACTATACAAAAAGTTTCACCTTAATTTATTTAATTTGTAAAATTCAGTTTATATGTATTAAGTAAGAAAACAAGTTGTAAACATATGTTGTGAGTGACTTTACATATCCCAAACATGGGTTAATGGAAGTTGCTGGATGTCAGAGCGTCTGCACAACTCCAAAGTATTGATTTTTTATTTTTGGATGAGCAGGTCTTAAATGTGTCTGCTAAAAGGGTATCGGCTAATAGAAACTGCATCAGAAACACATTTTTAGATTACCTAGCATAATCAGTAATTTTAGAAATGTAATATTTACACTAGAATTTACTTTTTAATCAATTTATTTAGTTTTGTAAAGAACGATTTTCTAATTAACTCATTTAAAATTGATTTATATATAAGTAAATAACGTAATTATGAGTTACAACAAACATATTTCTTTTTAGTTGCTTTTTAAAATAAACGAAACGATTTAAATTTTGCAAAATAGATTTCGCTTTTTAAATTTCACGCCGTTAACCTTCTAAAAGAAGAAAATATAATAAACAGCGATGTTGCCAACGTTTACAAATATTTGAATTTATCAAGAAATTTGAAATACCACCAAATTTTAAAAATCAAAAATATTTGATTTATTTATATCATTTTACAAAGAAGGATTAAGATAAGACGAACTTCTGAACACTTTAAGTGAAACTTTTAGGGACTTTTAAGAGTCTCAGTCATTCAGTTTGCAGAAAGCGGCAATGTGGTGCTTTCAAAACATAGAGGTAGAATCCCAGACAGCACACCAAATCCTTTGGATATCTACTGAACATCCCAATATCCACTGAATGTCCAGTCCATGGTGGATATCTATTTTATATCCATGAGCTGTAATTTATAGACATGCAAATGTCCATAAATAATAGTAATTATATAGCAAATTATTAAAAAATTACGCCATTGTACTCGCCATTGTGGCTAATAGTACCGTTCAGATATTTAAAATTATTTTTTTTAAGGTGTATTCAATATCCCATGGACATCCACTAAATATATCAAAATCTAGGCGCGAACGCAAACCATCGTGGATATCCACTAGATGTAATTTTTGATTTTGCTTAGTAAGTATAGATGGCGATACTACTTTCGCATCTACTTATGCTCAACCCGCCGCAATTGAGTTCGATCGAAATTTGTTTCACAATCAGACCCCATTAGAGACTGGAGTCGAGAGTTTCCATTTATTGCTGAAGAGTTCTAATAAGGATAACTTTCTCCTTAGTGGGCAAAATAAAAGGCAGATTGTTGAAAATATTTTGAGTGTTGAAAATATTTTTAATCTCTGCTATTTTCTTTCGACTTTATTCAATAATCATTGGTTACTTATGAACCTCTACTTAAGATACCTATAAAATATTTTGCTGAATATCCGAATTCTTCTATATCCTGGGATATAGACGGACATTTGGTTGGATATCCATATTGGATATCCACAGAATATATTCTGTGGATATCTCTGTGATTTCTTGTATTGTCTGGAAGATACTCATTAGATATTTTGCTGGATATCCATATATCTTCTATATTCTGGATATAGACGGACATTTGGATATCCATATTAGATCCACGGAATATTTCTGATATCCTGTGGATATATTGGATATCCACAAAAGAGTGAACTCTGTCTATGACGTCACGCACTCCGTGCGCGCTCTGTGCGGTCCGTCGAGTTCCAAACCAAACTTACCCACAGTCATATTTTGATTTATTTGAAGTCAATAATTTTATATTTGAAGATTGACGGAATGGAAATGTTTATATACTATTTAAATAAAAAGGGGGGATTCTGACCCTCAAACCCCTCCCCCTGTGGCTACCCCACTGCATATTATATTAGATGACTAGGGATAGGACTTTAGACCCCCAGCAGATCTGATGACATAACTTCGCCCATGCCTCACAAGGCTTTAAATTATTGCCTTATTATCCATTATATTTGTAATTTATTTTTTCCATATAAAAGGAATATAAAAGTCGATTATGCAATGCATTGGGCGCTTTCATACTGGGCGACACGGCAACGACACGTCAACGAAAACGGTGTCGGTGGACGCCTTATCTCATGTAATTAATGAGCGTTTTCAGACCTAACGACACGATACCGACACGACACCGGCAACGATATTGGAGCGTGCAAAAATATATTAATGCAATGCAACGCTTTCGCACTTACCATCATATCGGCGTCATGTCGTTGCAGGTGCTGACATGTCGGTGGGTAGCAGCCTTCCCTATCGTGTCGTCGTGCCGGCAGTGTTTTTTTAACACTACGAAGGACAGGATATTATTATTAATTAAAAACAACAAACAAATAACAAAAGATATGGCGAGTAACTTTAAATACGATGTGGTGACGCTTATAGAATTAGTCGAATCAAAACCTTGTATTTGGGACAAGACTAATGACAACGACAAGAACAAAATATTGGGTGTCGTGCTTCTTAATTTCAGCATATAGATTCGTCAATATATAATCAAATGTATCCTTACTCATTCGAAAATAATTAAAAAACTTGTTCGGGGCCTCAACTAACTTCTGAAACAATGTATAGAAGGTGCCCTCCAGATACCTAGTTTTGATAATAGAATGCGCCCAAAACCGTCTTCGGTTTCTCTTTATTTTTCGCCTTAAGTACAATAAATATAGCAAATATAAATTGTTAACTGCTGGCATTATTATTTTTCTTTTTAGAATATTATTATTTGGGTATGTTTATTCTTTTTTATCAACCACCATAAAAAAAATCCGTCGGTATCTCGGGACTGTATTGTCGAATAAATTTTTTGGTGTGAAAGATCAATAGCCGGTGCCGTGTCGGTATCGTGTCGTTAGGTCTGAAAACGCTCAATCCTGTCGTGTCGGGGCGATTTTTCGTTCAAAATAGTTGCATTTTTGTGAGCGGTGGGAAATCATCGGTGTTGTTGTAGAATTTTGGGCGGAAAAATTGACAGTTTCAAATACGACATCGTCACATTAATTGAACTAGTGGAATCTAAGCCTTATATTTGGAAGAAAACACATAAAAATAGTACAAACAAAATACTTCGTGATAAAAAGAAAATGATTAAAAAACTTATTTGGGTCATTAGCCAACTTCTTAAATAGAGTATAATATAAATATCTCTCTTTAATATTCGGATGTACTCATAAATGCCTTTGCTTATATCGTTTCTTGCGCCTCAAATATAATAAATTGAGTAAATATTAGTTGTTACCTGCCATAATGAACGACACACAATTGCATGTGCATGTGTCGTTGAATGTGTAAATCACTTGCCGGATATCGTGTTGGCCTCGTTATCGTGTCGTTATCGTGTCGTTGCCGTGTCGCCCAGTGTGAAAACGCCCATTCAGTAACGTAACGACAGTGGCTTTAAAATTCAAATCGTTTACTCATGTGGCAACGTTGTTTGCCCGCTGTTATTAAATGACATTGACAGTGACAACTCCATTTAAAAATTAAAAATAAACAAGTGTGTGTCTGTGAAATTTTGTGGTAATGAATCCAGTTTACGACTTCATTCAGAAAAACAGAGTGTTAGCTTTAATAGAAAAGGCTCAACAAACAAATGCTCGAAATTTAGCACTTGATGATTTTGATTTAACATATTTTCCAGACGTATTAATATCTTGTCAAGGTCTACATTCTCTTAACATAGGTCATAACACTATTGTGGATATTCCTTTGGAAATATCACAATTAAAAAATCTACAACATTTGTCATTAGAATACAATCATTTAGATATATTTCCGGAGACATTGAAGAACCTTCCACAGCTGATCACCTTGAATATTAGCCACAATCCTCTACATGATCTGACTAAAGATATTGGATGTTTGGTTTCTCTTGAAACCTTATGGTGTAATAGCTGTTTATTGACAAGAATTCCAGAAGAAATAGGAAATTTAACTAAGCTTCAAACCTTTGGTGCTAGACACAATAAAATTAACAAGTTGCCAAATAGAATATGTGAGCTAATCAATTTAAAGTGAGTACCTCAAAATAAAAAAATTAAAGCAAATTATGGGCTATAAAATTATACAATCATTCTTTTATCCATAATGAATTCATTTATAGAGATAATGATGACATACTTTTTATATTCATTTCGTATATTTTTATGGTTCAGAATTCTAGTACTTAAGTTTACACCAAATTTCCATTTGTTAATGCTGAAATAAAATGAAGATGTATAAAAAATTATTGGGATTTGTGGTATGAATGTTGTTAATAATTAATTACACATTGCACAACTTTTATCTTAATATTTTTGTAACATTACTGATGTGGTTATTCCAGAATTGGATGTTTCTAAATGATTCATATTCAGGGATATTTCTTTTAATATTTGCAAAAAGGCCCTAAGACTAATTGTCTAATTAAGTAGCCAGCTAGATAACCTGATTTGTCCCTTTACATTTCTTTTTTTGAGGTTTATATTGACAAATTATTTATACATGTCAAAAAACTAAAGGAAAACACTTTCACATGTGTCTATAATAAAAATGGAAGTAGGTACCTATTATTAATATTAAAAAAGGGCAGTTTTTATATTACATTTTACACAAAATAAATGTTTGGTTTCACGGCCCAGAATACTGACTAGAAAATTGATTAAATAAAAACAAATCTTTGAGAAAACTTAATTTCAGATTTTTATAGAATAAAATCTGATGTGTAAATCATTGTTTTTGTTTAGATTTGAATTTTGCCTCATTTTTTCAGGTGGTTAACAATGGAAGACAATAATTTAAATTCTATACCTAAAGAAATTGACAAATTACAGATGATAAAGCACATAAACTTCAACAAGAACAATTTTAGCTATATCCCTTATAGGCTATCGAAATTAAAGAATTTAAAATATTTACATTTACAAAGTAATGAATTCTTTTCTATGCCAGAAAGGACAATTTTCGCTATGCCTCATACAAAAATAAATCTACAACATAATCCGCTAAGGTTAGAAGATAATAAGGTATGTAAATATATATATAAAAAAAATATATTAACATTTATGTAAATTACTAAATACTAGAAGTTGCAATAATTAAACTAATAGAAAGGAACCACTCTCAAATTTTCAATATCATGTTATATGTATAATGATATAACACTTTTATTATAAAATGAAAATGATATTTTTTTTGGAATTAACATTAAATTTACTGTGATTAATGCATGGTTTAAATGTAATTATAATTGAATTTTAATGAATAAGATTATCCCTACTAATTTGGTAATAAATTATATTTAGTACATAACACAAGAGTATTTTTTATATATGATAACTAAATGGGGTTTTTATGGATTGATTTAAGTACTATGTGCCAGGAATGTGTGTATATTAATGAAATAATTTGAATTTTGAATAAGGGAAATCTGAATGTCAAAGAAGACAGCAGAACACCTATGCAATTTTGAGTTGAGACCTATGCTATATTTTTAGGCTATTTTTATACCCTATTCAAAAATTTTATGCTCTTTTTTTTTTGCAAAAATCAACGAATTCAGCAGAGCTCCTCAGTTGTTTTAAGTTTTTTTCCACAAACAACGACGCCATATTTTTAGGCTCTTAAAATATTTCGAAAAAAATTGTTATTTTTAAAAAATACAGGATCCTTTGCTAGTTTCGAACAAAGCCAGCAGAGCACCTAGGTTTTTTAAAGATTTTTTTCTAAAAACAATATGTGTGTGAGAGAGGGAGAGTTGGCTTAGAATTAAATCTGTTAGCCATAGACTTTTTTAAAGAAAATTACCTAAGCTTATAGTTATACTTTAATTTGCTTAAGAAATTCAATTAGGAGGTTATTAATGATTTTGCTGTCCTGACTCAACAAGTTAGGAATACTTAAGGGTGGTTTTAATTTCAACTGAATCAATGACATATATAGGCTTTTGGTCTTGGCTTTATGATTGTTGCAATTAAAGAATATATGATTTAGGTCCGCTATCGATACATTATCACAAATACTGCTAAGTTGACAATTCCTAGTTTAGCTAAATGTTAGGGATATCTTTCTTGTTGTGTTTTTAATCTTATCATTGATGCTGAGTAGTATTTAGAGACGTTGTACTCGAAAATATATGCTGGCGGAAATGGTAGTTGAGGGTATAACTGGTGATATAGATTATTGGATTCAATATAAGTCCATTCGTTTTTCCAGCAATCTATCACATTTTGTTTTAAAACTGTAATACCTATGTGGCTTTAAACCCAAATAACGTTATTTTGATTTCGAATAAAATGTCCTGCATAATTACTTAAAATTGTTTTTAAAAGATTTGAGTTCATTTGCGTTGTGTCTGAGTATAAGGGGATTATGACTTTATGTTTACTTATTAACACTCGGTAAGGAACGTGGTATAGTCGTAAATCATTTTGTTCTTTTAAGTGTGAGTAAGTATTAGCATTGGTAAAAGCTTCTGTGAGCGGTGGAGAATTCTTCTTTCTCCAAAAGGAATTTCTAAAAACAATGACAACGCATTTTTAGGCTATTATTAGGCTCCTGAAATATAAAGCTTTTTGAAAAAATAAGTATTTTTTAAAAACTACAGGGTGCTTTTCTAGCTTCGAACGAATACAGCAGAGCACTTTTTTCTAAAACAGCCACACCAAATTTTTAGGCTCTTGAAATATTATAAAACTTTTCTAAAAAAATTGTTACTTTTTATTTTTACAGGGTGCTTTGTTCGAACGAAGCAAGCAGAGCAACTCCGTTTTTTTAAAAAGGTCTTTCCTAAAAAGAACCACGCCTCATTTAAGGCTATTTTAAGCTTTTAAAATATTATAAAACATTAAAAAAAATTACTATTTGTAAAAAGTATGGATTTGCTTTGCCAACCAAATTTTTTTTAGTAAAGTTTATAATATTTCAAGAGCCTAAAAATAGCCTAAAAATGTGGTGTGGTTGTTTTTAGAAAAAAGCTCTGCTGGATTCGTTCGAAGCTAGCAAAGCACCCTGTATTTTTTAAAAAATACTATTTTTTTTTCAAAGGTTTTATAGTACCGTAAAGTCGGGTGACTTTGACCCACATGGGTGACTTTAGCTAACATCAGTAAATAGTTATTTTTGTTCACAAAAATTATACGTCCTATTTTTAAAATAAAACTCACGCTGATTGAACTGTAAGGTATTAAAACTACCCAAAACACTTTATTTAAAGACAATTGGACGCTCATGCTTTTTGTAGTATAAACAATTTAACTCATTGCAAAATAATCGAAATTGAAAGGTGATAAAATTTGTATGCAACTAACAATACTGTTGTTTGTAATATTTTTTGTTATTATCTTTGCCGTAAGCAATAAAAAATATTTTTTTAATGACAAAATGTGTTTACTATCAACTGTGATGGGTGGCTTCAAACCAGCAAGTAATATTATAGAGAAAACAATGTAAAATGATGGTTGAGACAAAGTCGCCCTCTACCTGCGGGTGGCTTTGTACACCCCTTTTTTATTTGAAAAATTAGACCATTTGAGATATTTTTGCTTAATAATTCTTAAAATATAACCGAAGACTAAATTATGGCGAAAATGCGAATTTTGATTTGTTTTTATTTAACAATTGAAACTTAGGTTTACATTTTGACAGTGAGTCAAAGTCAAGAGTCTAAAAATAGCTTAAAAATGTGGCATAAGTAGCTGTTTTCAGAAAAAAAAAAATCATAAACCGATGTGCTCGACTTTGTTCTAACAAAGCACCCTGTATTATTTAAAAATAACAATTTTTTAGAAAATTTCTATATTTCAAGTGCCTAAAAATTTGGTATGGTTGTTTTTAGAAAAAAAGTATCAAAGAACCAAAGTACTCTGCTGGATTCGTTCGAAACTAGCATAAATATTCCAAGGGCCTAAAAAAAGCCTAAAATGTGGTGTTTTTTTTTTAGAAAAAACCTTTACTGGCTTCGTTCGAAGCAAGTAAAGCACCCTGTGTATTTTTTTTCGAAAAGTTTATAATATTTTAAGAGCCTGAAATTAGCCAAAAAATATGGTGTTGTTTTTGGAAAAAAAACTTTAAAAAACTGAGGTGCTCTGCTGATTTCATTCGAAGCTAGCAGAGAACCTTGATTTTTGCAAAAAACAAGCATACAAATTTTGAATAGGGTATAAAAATAGCCTTAAAATAGCCTAAAAATATGGTATAGGTTTCAACTCAAAATTGCCTAGGTGCTCTGCTGCCTTCTTTGATATGAAATTTGAAGTATAGATTTGTCTAATGCTGCATTTGAAAATTCTCTCGTTTTGCTCTTTTTACTCGAAGCCATTCTTTTAATACATCTGTGGCTTCTCAATGGGATCTGCTGAGATGTACAGACGTCTTTCGTTGTCTCTTGTGTTGCAGTTTATTCTTTTTCATATGTATTTCGTTATTAAAAAAAATATTTATAAAAAATGACATACAGAAATGAGAACATGGTTTATTTTCTAGTGAAAGCAAAAAGCGAAAAATACCATAGCTAAAAATTAACTTTACTTTGCAAGTTGCAACAAAAACCTCGAGACGAGAGATCAAATTTGATTTAAGAGAAAGGTTTAAGTTTGTTATTTTAATGAAAACCGGAAACGGGAAACGCAAACAAATCCATAGCCGTTCTTTTATTCCACATAAGCTCGATTTGCTCAATGATCATGTGACTAAAAAATCTACTAGCTCTACTCTGCTCCGGGAGGTACTTTTCAAAACGTAGCATAAATTGTCTCTTTTTCTCAAAAATTGAAATAAAAAAATTATGACACCAGAAGAAGTGGCACAACGAGCTGTTGCTTTACAAGATGAAGCGTCACGTGATCGCACATTATCAGCACCAGCACTTGTTCAACGATTAATTGACGTTCATAAAAACACGGTTTCCATTTATGCTATTCGTAGACGCTTGAATGAATATGGAATAAGGTCCAGAATACCTGTCACAGGACCTCTATTAACTGCAGATCATCGGAGGCAATGTTTACAGTTCGCTCATGAACATCTTAATTGGGGTATTAAAGCATGGGGTAAAGTGCTCTTCACGAATGTATCAAGATTCAGATGGGCGGTCTAGGACTTGGAGAAGAGCTGGTGAACGTTATCATCAATGTTGTTTTACTCCTAGAGTTCAATTTGGTGGAGGTGGTATAATGGTGTGGGCAGGCATTTCACTAGAGGCTCATACAGAACTTCTAGGGGGCAATTTAAACTCAGAAAAATATATTCAACAATGTTTGGAAGATCATATAGAACCATTTGTTGGAGAAAATTTTTGATTGATGCTAGATAATGCTCATCCGCACATTGCAAGATTAATGGATGAAGTTGGGATTCTATTATTACCATGGCCCTCAAGGAGTCCCGACTTAAATCCAATAGAACATGCATGGGATATTCTGGGACAACGTAATTGATGTAACCATGTTGTGTTTCACACCATTCATAACTTGGGACTAATGGAAGCAAATCCCTTAGGAATAATTTTCTGACTTAATCCGAAGTATGCCTGATCGATTGTGAGCCGTGATTAAGGCTGAGGCAGTACACCCTACTAAATATAGTTTTTCATTCAAAAATGTTTAAAATTTAAAAAAATAATTTTTGTTTGTTTGCAGATTTTTCAATTTTTGTTATTTATTTTTTCTTTGTTAAATTTTTTATTTGTAATAAATTTTCTTTTTAAATTTTTTTTATTATTAAATATTTAATTAGGAACATCTTAAATTTTTTTAAACGCTAGTTTTTAGGAAACATCTAAGTGTCTTGTTAATTTTGAACTCCAGTGTATCTACAGCATTGGTCCGGTATTTTCAACATTACAATACATATTGAATTTATTTATATATATTATTATTTTTTGCAGATATTTACGAACATTATAATAACTGGTAGTGAAAATGAAATACTAGACATGATTGGGTACGATTCTGACTCCAGCTCAGACGACTGGGACAACAGCTTAGATAGTACTGAATTAAACTATTCAGCCACAGATGAAGATAGCGATAATGAAAACCGAGAAGTTATATCCAATATGCCAATCCTTTCCAAATTTTTAGTAACGTGTTGAATCTCATAAAAGTGATGTTTTGCCAAATCTTAGACCAGACCCTTCAAAACAAATTAAAATTGGTAATACAAAATATGTTTTTCTATAACTGTTGAATAATACATTACTTATTATCTACGTGATTTTTATAAGTAATATCAATAACAACAATTTTCATTATTTTCGCGTTATAAAATCACTCTTAATACTTGGTTCTGTCAGCAGGTACTGAAAATGCATTCAGAGACTGTGGAAATAGCTTTTTGTAAGATGAATCAGATCGAGAAAGTCTCAATATTTCTTATGAAATTTATAATTGAAAATTTCAAATTTTCATTTTAATTTTTTAAAACAAATACCGATGTGAGTAGTTAGACCATAGCTGAGAATAAAATATGCTAAGATTGATATAAAATTTGAATCAAGTAGGTAACAGATATAGTAAAAGAATAATATTCAACTGGCAGTAGTGTTTATTACTGTTCCTTGAATAAGATACTATTAATTGAGCACTTAAGGTAGATAAATGAGATTAATAAAGAAGTTGCTATTGGTTAATTTTGAATAGAAATTATAATCATTATGTTATTTAATAACAACTAATTGATATTTTTAAAAAAGGATGAGAGAAGAAATATATATTTTTTAATATTAACTGTTCAGGGTATGGTCTAGTTTCCAAGTTACAATGTGTATGTGCGACAAAATCACATTATCAACATCATTCCACATCAATTTAAGAAAAATATGAATGTTCCTTACTTATGTTCTAATTGTAACAATATATACTGTTTTTGATCGCGAACGATTGTTTTATTTAAAAATGGGATGTGTCCAACACATGACTTTCCTGTAGAGTTATTAAAAATATTGAGTCTGGTCCATGTAATCAAAAAGGACTTATTTAGAATATGAATCAACAATAAAAATTATTCAAAACATCCTTTTCCTATTTTCATTACCAATGAATATAATTAAAATTTTGCCCTTTTCTTTAAATTTCTCCATTACGGTCCATTTTAGAGAAATGTATAGGTCAAAAATTTTATTGAAATCATTTTCTTCTCTAATAATAAATAACAGAAATATCCATTTAATTAGAAAGATTACCCCGTATAAGGTAGCCCCCAGATGTTCTGACTAGGTGTGAGCAAAATAATCCATTAGTCCATTATTATTTTTTTAAATCGATAATTGAATATTTTCGATTAATCTATTATTTTTTATTAATTGATTAATTTCGATTAGTCGATTATTTTCGATTAATTTATTATTTTCGTATTATCGATTATTTTCGTATAATTAATTATTTTCGTAATATCGATTATTTTCGTATAATTCTGTTTACCAGGCCATTTCGCCCTCTCACACTAACAAGTGTACAATGACCGTCATAATAATTTTGTCGGATAAATTGGAACGGAATTTAAAGATTTTAGAATTTGACATTTAACATGTTTGTTGTTTTTTGTATTAGGTATACATTATACCATTTTAAGGATCTCAAATTTTATTAAAGGTGAAGACAAACTTAAATCGAGAATCCCCATTTCGCAAAAATAAATAATCTATTTTAGGAAGTTGCCTAGCATGAACCTATGTAAAGACAATCCCGCTTACTTTCTATATTGTAGAGTAATTACTGTTTTCTTTCATATATACAGTTGAGTTTTGTCATCCAATACTATATTAATAAAAATATTTATTTTTCAAAAATAGGAATATAAACAAGTAAAGAAAATTGAAAACTACTGATATAGTTTTCTTTTTACTAACCATTTCCATGCGCATGGCGGGCGATTTTTAATCTTCCAACTTCAATGAGTAAAAAGTTGACGCCCAGACACATACGTTCTCAAAAACGGAACGATGTTTCCAAAACACCTAGACAAAACAGCCTTTTTGACCGACTTCAAAAAAGGAGGAGGTTCTCAATGCATCGGAATATATATTTTTTTATATATATGTTCAGCAATAATTCTTTAACACGTCCGAATACAATGATTCTTGTTTTGGTAGAAAGGGGGTGGTCCCATATAAATTTGGTCAAAATGTAATAATTGGGTCTATGAGAAAATCCTCAAATTCCTAATTTTTTTATGTATGTTCAGCGATAATTCTTTACCACCTTCTCCGATTTCTATGATTCTTTTTTTGATAGTAAGGGGGTCCCATTTAAATTTTGTCAAGATGTGGTGATGGTATCTGCATGATTTTGAAGTCGGTTTTTTAAAATTACCTTTAATACTTGTATTTGAACTTTTATTAGTGACTGTTTTTAGTCCGTACGTCGCCCGGGTCTTAAAACGGAACACACCCCAACTAAGGTAACACAAACTACCCTCATGGACGTCTTTAATTAACCCCTGCTAAAGAATAGCTTAACTAATCAGTGGAAAAAGGCTAGGCTAGTCTTAATACCGAAAAGCAAATCAGAAGATCTAACAAATCCAGCTGCCAATAGACCGATCTGTCTCATAGACACCATGTGGAAGTTATATATGAGATTCTTATAGGACTAGACTTAATAGGGAGCTGGTAGAACGCAGCGGTCTCTCTGAAAGTTAGTAAAAGCGTTTGAGAAGCTGCTAGATGAGGTGAGGGAATCGAAAAAAAAAATGCTTTCAACAGCCCTCTGGAGTAAAATTATAGGAATAACATAAGTGAATATCTTATCATCTTGGGAAAAAGTAGCATGGGAGTATCAAGCGGGGTTCCACAGGGCTTGGCCCTAGGGCCGGTCCTGTGGATTGCCATGTGCGACGGATTGCCTATAAATAATAGGAGCAATAGATAAGGCAGAATTGGAGCACAAAGCTAATCTGGCTCTAACCCAAATAACGTGGTGGATGAAAGAAAGTGACCTAAAGCTGGCTAACCATAAAACTGAAGCTATCGTACTAAAGGGAACAATATAACGTCGGGGGATCTCCTTCATCCATGAAGAGGCTACAATCACCCCCCACAAGCAGTTAAAATGCTTGGAAATATGGATTGATCAAAGGCGAAGCTTTGAGGAACACGTCTTAAAGACAATAGAAAAGGTCGAGCGAACGGTGTCGGCATTAACGAGAATTATGCCAAGAGTAGGGGGGCCTACAGATGCCAAAAGGAGAACACTTTACGAAGCAGAGGCGGCTCGTGGCCTAGTCTACGAGTAGGCTAGGGAGGCTACTTTTGAAAGGCACACCCTATATACTTAATACAAATATATATTTCTATTAGAATACAAAAAGCAAAAATATACATTATATTCTAATAGAATAGTATATTATGCAACGATCATGTAATGATGGTTATTAATACACGAGCATTAACCGGGATACGAAACGAGCCAAAGGCGAGTTTCGTATGGTTTATGCGAGTGTTTTAATAACCATTACATGAGAGTTGCATACGCTATTTTTTCTACACCCGATAAATAAGACCTATAAATATTATATTTATATTGGTATTGAACACAATAACAGTAATTACTCGTATTTCTATAAAAAATTCTACAAAATTGTAATTAATGGTATTACTTCAGGTATTGGTATTTCCCTAGATTTTTGCGGTAAAATATTTTGTACTGTATTTTCTGCTTTCTCCGATATGTGTGGAGGAGTCTTCTATATCGCTAATATCAGACATTTTAATATTATAATTATCGAAGTTTAGCTACCTACGAAAATTTAATACGTTTTGACAACTAAAATAATTACATAGGAACCTAGGACAAACGTCAAACAGCATGCTTGATTGAAAAATTGTAGGTTTCTATTGATTAAAAATCTGTATCGTAATGAAAAATCTGTATCATAATGGGTATCATTATGAAACGGATTATGGGCATATAAGTGCATTATTATAATACGGGTGTAGAAAAATATAATATTTGTATTAAGTATATTGGGTGTGCTAGCCTCCTCGTAGACTAGGCCACGAGCCACCACTGTTATGAAGTAGTGAAGTCTATACTACTATACCAATTTGTTTATAAATACATGGCATAGGTACGTTAAATGTGGTAAAATAATAATATCAGTAATATATGCATAAACGTAGTTAAGTAATTAGTTTGTTATCTCTATATGATTCAACTTATATTTCCGGAAAATTCCAAAATTATTTCCATTGATAAGGACAAGCATATTATTATTTTAACAAAACTAATAAACCAACAGAGATCATAATAAAATAAAAAGTAGGTAACTGTAATATTTTTCTAAAGTATTAATTTTAGTAGAGCCAAAATTTAGATTCCTAATTTATAATATCAAAATTTGGCAAGTAGAGCTTTGCTTTAAATAACATTATTTGCACGTTCCAAATTAAGTAAAACATGAAGTTTAACAAGAATTAATCAAAGAACTGTTAGAAAGTTTTATGTTAAGTGGAATAATATAACTTTAAAAAAAAGAGAAAAATAAACATACATAATTTTTGTTTGATAACTTTAAGACCAATTAGAAAAATGATCCAATGATACTGATTCATGGGCCAAAAATAACGAGCAACAGCTTTTATTGTTGATGAACATCAAGCGAACGCGCGCGCTTACACGCACCCACGCACGCTCGCAGTCACGCACGCACTACACACACACACACACACACACCACACATACACACACACACATCACATATACTTTAATTTTCAAAGCTGTAGTTCTAGAAAGAGCACGTAGGAGATTCGATTTAATTACTGGTGAAACAAGGCATCGGAATTTGTAATTCTATTTACTTAGTATTTGTCCGTTCAATTATGCTGAGGCCACACTGAGCGCTACGCTATGTTCACTACGTTCGCTACATAACATAACGTGTGTCTTTTTTTCCACCGGTTTGTTGCAACCGTTGTTTCACCGATGCGGCCTTGAACGTTTTGTGTTGGATTCTGGTTGACCGTTGAAATAAATAACAGTTGACATACCGCACCGATGCCAACGTTGCTGCAACAGTTGGATAAAAAGACACACGTATAGCGAACGTAGCGTCTTACATCTATGTGGCCACGTCCGTTTATAATAATGGGAGATATCGCACTCTGTGTGGCCGCAGCATTAGTCAGTTATTAAAGACAAATTGGATTTAAAAACTGTTATTTATTGGTCGCGTCCTTAAGTAATCAATAGTATAATTACAAATGATTACCATGTTGCCAAATATACCTCTAGAAGGCGAATATTATAAGTAATAGACTGTACTTTCTCCACGGCCACAGACAGAGTTGAATATAATAAAATAAAGGACTTGAATATAGTAAAATGAAACTACTCCAGGTAAACACGCCTACTAATTGAATCAAATTACCGACGCATATAAATGAATTGTTTACACATAATTATTTATACATTAAATATTAATAAAAACAAGGAAAAGGATAGGTGAGAATTTTTTCTTTTTTTAACCATCGAAAAAATAGAATGCATGATTGGACTTTGAAGAGAGGTGAGGCCCTTTTTTTTGTAGCCCACGTCATCATGGTACGGCCCATTCAGCTTCGGAGATAAACAAAGTTTGGCGCCTACGTCGACCACTACAAACATTTCAAAATATAATTATTAGTAAATTTTAGTCTTTCTGCAATAAAGACACAGATGTGATTAATAAAAAAATATAAGTGGCAACCTAATTTGAATTAACTGGATTTATTAGTATACGTCACGAGACATCAAATTTAAAATTTTAATAATTAATTATTTCTTTGGCCTCAAATCAGTAACATTTAAACAACAACATTTTACTAAATGATAAAGTTTCCTACGGACTATTACAAATATATGACTACTATAGCTCATCTTTTGGAATAAAATGAAAAATAAA